AGACAACAAACGACTATCTATGACTTCTACATATACAGATTTATTTTTCTTAATTAAAAATATTTCTTATTTTTTAATAAAAGTTTTATCTATAAAATAAGCTGAGGTTTTTGAATTTAATAAAGTAAAGATTTTATAATTTTTTAGTCCTAAATTTCTATTATAGAACAAAGTGAAGAATATAAAGAAAGAATAAGATCTTTAGTAGGTGTTATGCAAGATTTCAATTGTATGATATCTATTATAATTAGATAAAGTCATTTTTTGACATATTGTCTTCTTTGGCAACTATACTCTTTATTTTGTGATTACATTGCTTCTTTGAATAATATTGAGCAATGTGCTTAGGTTTCCATAATATAAGCATAATCTTTCTTAATAATATCAAGTCTTTTTTTACTTATTAAGAATTTTGAAATGTATTGTGTTGATTTGCATAAGTTTTGGCCTTGATGAATAAGCTTCTAATAACTTAAAAGTTATTGCAATTACTTGATTTGTACATCTTTAACCAAAATTATGTTCTTAATGTCTTTCAAAGAATTGATTATTCCATGCAATAGCTTCAACAATAAATTGCTCCAATGAATCTATTCTCGACATTGTCAACAACAAGTCTTTGATATTATCTTTCAATTTATATTAAAATTGATTGATAAAGGCTTTGTCATTCCAATCTATATTGCAAGCAATATTTTAGAATTTTATAGCATAGATAGTGGTTGAACATAATCCTTGTTGTAAAGATAGGTTTCTAATCTCTATTATCCTTTCTCAATCATTTTTTTCAAATGTAGCAATAAAGACTTTTAAAAATGAATTCAGATTATAAAATAATTATAAATCTTTTTCCATCAAAGTTGCAAACTAAAAAATACCACTCTTAGATAGAAATATACTTATAAATCCAACTTGATCAAATCCGTTAAGGTATTGGAAAGAATGCAATCTTAAAAAGAGTTTCACTTACTGTAGAAATCCTTGAAAATTTGATCTTATTTCGTCAAACTTCTCCAACATACTTATCCTTGCTTCTCTCATACTTATAACAAAAAGGGCTTCTTACACTTAATTCTAAATTTAATCTATTTATTTCTCTTAATTACAAAACTTCTTTACATAGAATTTGAACCTCTTTGTTGGCTTCTTGTATAGATATAGAAATAGTGCTTCCATGGTTCACATTAGAAAGATATGAAATTTCAATTCTAAGAGTATTGACAAGCTCATGAAGATCTATAATAGTTGCAAATTTATTCACTTTTGCCATAAGTAGCATCTATAATTTTTTCTTCTATAAATGACTCAAATAAATTCACAAGTCAAATTAGAAGATAGTAACTACATCCTCTAATACCAAATAAAAATTTCTACAAAAAAAGATAGTTTATTCTTTTTAAAGAAAATAATTAGTATTTAAATCACTAAAATTTAATTTAAAGGTAGGTAGTCTGTAACTTTCAAAGTACAATAGTAGAAGTGAAATAATCTACTAAGTTTTAAAATAATAAAAAAAAAAACAAAAACAAAAACAACAACAACAAGTTAGTACTTTTGTCAAACTATCAAGAATATCAGTTTTAAAGAATTAAAAGATCAATAAACTCTGTGTCACTTAAGAAGTCTAAAAATACACTCAAAGATGGTATAATATTAAATTATAATAGCTATTGCCAAAGATAAGAAGACTAAAAAATCTCAAAATAAGACTAAGAACTAAAAGGTATTAATAAGAGTAAAAAAGACTTCACTCTTACTTCTATATATACTATATAACTAAAAGCTACGTGGCAATATTTTATAGGACCTCCAATACATGTATAATTTGCAAGATACATATCTTATTTTTACTTTGCAAGATACATGTCTTATTTTTACTTTGCAAGATACATGTCTTAACTTGCAAAGTAAGTTTTTTATGTGTGTATCATATTATTAGCTTGTACCACAAGCTATCTATACGTGTGATACATTGCTAATTTTTTGGCCAAGTTTCTAACCTATTAATCAACTACAAACATATATAAAGCCAAATATACATTTATAAAGCTTCTAAAAAGTTATGCTACAAGATAATATCAAATCTACATATATTTATCTTCTACTTAACACTTCTTATCTAAGTAAATATGTATGTTTGTGACAATATTTTCTTTTTTATTCTCTTTATATCAAGTTTCTTTAAAATACATTTAACATGATATAATGATATTCTTCTACTTATTTTTTAAAAAAAATAGTCAATTTTTATCAAGGTATATATATATATATATATATAGATATATATAGATATAAAAATAAATAAATAACAAGTTGTTAAAGCTATATCCCAATGTTATTAAAGCCATATCTTCAAATCTTGTAATGATTAATTTTGAGAGACAAAGAATATGGGATAGGAGATATGGGATATGAGATGGAGATGAAGGATAGATGAAATCAATCATGAGATAGTTATGTAGGATGTTAAGTGTAATTTTAAAAACTCCATCTATATATATATATATATATATATATATATATTATTAAAATTTAATAAAATTAATAATATAAGAATATATTAAAATAAATAAATTAATTATTATTTTAAATTAATGTATAATAATTTTTTAAAAAATTACTAATTATTGAGGTTCTTTAATATTTTCAAATAAATATTTTCAAAAGAATTAAAATTACATATTTTGTATTTATAATCTATTATAAAATATAATTTTAAAATTACTATGATATAATAAATATAAAAATACTTGTAAAAATTATATATAAATAAAAATAATTAAATAATATAAAATAATTTGAATTTAAATCAAATTTATTCTTAAAAAGATTTGTTTTCATTAAAGTTCTTCATCTGCAATTACCAGCTTTGTATTTTTATTTTAAAAAAGAAGATGTATTATCTAAGGTACTATAGTAACATAAGTATCATTATTTTAAATTTTTTTCTCATATGTATATAAATATTTTAACAATTTTTGTTAAAACTGTTTAAAACTATTTCAATTTAACACTCAATGAATCTATTAACTGTGAATCACTTAGAAATCAATATATTATTATCTTTTTATTCTTAAAAATGTCTTGTAAAGATATGATGTAAAAAATATGTACTCAATTAAATTACATTGACCAATATTTATATTAAAATAAATTGGTGAAAATTCTCATTCATACAAAAATATTTATATAATTTATTGTTTGAAACAAAATTTAAATCATGATGTCAAAAAATATAAGTATAAGGTTAAATATTTTTCGAATATTTTTTATTTTTAATAAATAAAACATATATATATATATATATATATATATGTAGATATACTTTATATTAATTAAAATTATTTATATATTTATGTATTGTAATAAAACTTACAATATTTATAGTTTTAGGTAGGCAAGTTATATAATTTATATAAATTCAGCATCCAAGTCTTGTTGAATAGATATATATATATATATATATATATATGATATTCCAAAAAGTTCAAGGCATCAAAAAATACCTTATAATATTTTCTATTTGATTTATTTTAAAATTATTATAATATTCAAAACCATCATTTTCAAATTACACTAATACATGAATAAAAAATTTATGTAATTGAATTTTAGAAAATTCTAATGCTAAATATATGGTTTAAATGATACTTAATGTATATTAATCCACACTTTTAAGTATTATTATATATAGAGAGAGAAAAAAAGAGATAGATAGATCTAATTTACAATTCTATTGTCCAAATTATAACCAAGTTATTTAAAAAAATAAACAATAACTTATTTTAATCTTTTGTAAAGTAAAGATCTACAAAGATAGTTAAATTATTTGATGCTTCACCAATAACTATTATGATGTACTTCTATATAGTTATCTAATGAAAAATAATTTATTAATTTTTAAAACATATATGATTTTATTTTTATTTTTTATATAGACATGTTTACATAGATTAATATTATCAAATACAGTAACCATAAATAATTATCAAAAAAATAATAATTTAATGACCTATTAGCTTTTGTATATGAGAATATTAAATCTATCCAAGTAAATTTTAAAATTGACCTACCTTTTATCTTACTGTCTGGTCACCTTTTTCATATATTCCTTACCAGTATGAAGATCATCCTTTGATCATAATAAATTTGGCTTCAACGTCTACCAAAATGAATTTTAAAGCTAGCTTTGCATTGGAGCATTAGAGACATTCCTGTCTATTCCCACAATCAAATAAAATATCCACAAAGCCCTCAACTGCTTGTCAACTTTTGTAAATGAGAAAACCCACTCAAGAGATACAAATCTAAGGGGTCACCAAGGAAGAACGACCTTCTCTGGATTGGTGACAAATATTCAATATGAAACATGACAATTTTTGATTTACCTTGGTTGATTTAATATTCCCCTTTATATATTATCTAAGAGAAAAGCAAACAATAAAATTAATTATTTAAATTTTATTTTCAAAACGTATTTATTTCAAAATTATTAACAGGTTTTGTACAGAGCAGTCTTTGGCAAATTTGGTAAAGACACTGTCCAGGCTCTGGTTCACAACACTGGAAGTAGGCTGACAACGTAACAACTTCAATCCACCTCCAGTCAAGGTCCAACCCATCAAAAAAAGGAATAAAAAAAATGGATGGACATATGATTGAATGGATGAGGGGGGAGAAATGGGTGGATGGATAAAGTGCGATATGAGGGATAAACGAAGACCAGGAATGCTTGGCAAGAGAGAGCAGAGCAGGATTGTGAGGCTCCACCACGACCTCCTTCCGAACCAGGAAGACGAGGACGAGGAGGAGTTGAAGGGAGTTGAGGAGAGTTCCTCCGGGCCTCTCAAAAGGAGATTGGGTTTTAAAGGAAGGATTGTGGGGAGGGTCCCACCTCAGAACCAGCCAAGCAGAGACTGACCCACACAGACACACAGTCTAGCCCAGTGGCAACGCCCCTGCCTACTAGCAGGGCTTCTTATTCTGTGGGACGGCCTCCACACCGCCCCAATTGTGTATTTCCACTTAGCCACGAGCTCTCCACACGCTATCCAGTCTTCCTTCCTCTCACTCTCTCTCTCCCTCGCCGTCTCCGCCTTTCATTCTCCGTCAATCGCCATGGCCGCCGCAGCTATGACCAGCATTGTGCCTGTGGCATCCATTGCCCCCGTCTCCAAGGTCGCCAACGTGCGCCCCTCGTCGGTGTCCGTGGCGAAGGCTTTCGGTTTGAAGAGCAGGAGCATGGGCCGCCTTACCTGCATGGCCACCTACAAGGTCACCTTCCTGGACGGGGAGACTGGAGCGGAAAATGTCGTCGAATGCTCTGACGAGGAGTACGTGCTGGATGCCGCTGAAAGGGCCGGAATGGACCTGCCTTACTCCTGCCGTGCCGGAGCTTGCTCCTCTTGCGCCGGTATAATCAAGGCCGGAGAGGTTGACCAGAGTGACCAGAGTTTTTTGGATGACTCTCAGATTGATGATGGTTTCGTGCTGACCTGCGTGGCTTACCCAGCCAGCGACTGCATCATCCTCACCCACCAGGAGGAGAACATGTAGAGGACTGAGAAGAAGTGTGGGAGGAGTTGAGGCGTTGTAGAATAGGAGCTGAATTCGCTCAGTTTCCTTTTCTTGTTGTAAATTAGAGTTTAGTGAATCAATTCTTGAACTTGGGATTGCGCAAATTGAAGGTCTTGTTCCCAAATTTTCCACAAACGCATCGTTTTTGCCTCATGTGTGAAATGCCCTACTTTGATAGAGCTTGGGAGGGGTTGTGACTGGTCTTAGTTATCTTTTGGATGATTGCGGCTTTAAGGCCATACTTGCACAGTATGGCTTCTAGGGGTTTGCTGTTGCGGTCTTTCTTATACTCATGGTCTGTTGGATGACATGAATATTGTACTTAACACTTGATTCATGGGCAATTATTTATGTTCTCGAAGAATCCATGCTATTGCATGTTTTTGCAGTGACGGAAATGATAGCGCAGTTTAGGGTGTGCGATCAGGTCAGCGGGCGACAGTTGCTGGTGGATCTTCCCGTATGTCCTGGAGAATGTGAATTAGTTTACGATTTTGGGAAGATTCCAAGGATGTGCATGGGGATTACTTTTCTAGCATCCGGATTACTTCAACTCCATTGAGTTTCCACTCTGAACATCGATCAAGTGTCATATTGAATAATCCACATGCTTGTGCCTGTTTTTTGTCGTCATGAACCTCCATGAATTATGGTCACCATATTCATACTAGGAGTACTATTCGACAGGCTTTTGATGCTGCGGCTCCCAGGATGTTCCTGTAGTGAAGTCTGAATAGTTGTTTAAGAATCTGTTTCCTTTGCCGCTCAAGTGATGAATTGGGTGCAAGAAAGTGGAGTAACAATTTTTACTTTTTCTCAATTTGATAGAATTCTGGCGTTTCTGGCAGAAACAATTAAGACAGTTGTTTCTGGTGTTTTTATCAGATAATCGTTTGTACACCATGATTCGATCATTAACGCAGTTACACGTTCTTATGACTACATCAATCTTGAATAGCTCATGAATGTGTGTTACGAATTTTAGTTAACTCATTTAGGTCTCATCTTTGATTTGAGTTAACCTTGCTATATCATATTACTTTGATAATATTCCCTAAAAGATTGATACGAAGTTCAAACTTCAATTTCGCTTTGTATGACAAGACAAATTCACATTCGTATGAATGTTGATTGTGACAATTTGTACAGAGTGTTTATCTTGATTCAGATAACATAAATAATAAAAAGAAGAACAGAAGCTGTGATGCTTTTTAAATATAAACTATGATGCCTAGTGGTTGCAATAAATGCAACTATAGATTTAAGAAAATAATCAGCTGCATCAAACATTGAACTTTTGGAGATGGATGAATCTATAAAGTTTTGCAAATATGCCATTCAAAGTGGCATATGTTTTACGCCTCTTTTGAGGCACGAAGTGCATAGTTGTGAAATACTTTGTACCTTGTTTCAAACTCTATTTACCAAAATAATCTATTTAGTATTATATGTCAAATAAAAATTATGCATTGTAAAATGTTTTATATATTTAGAATAAAAAAAATTGTTGTAATCATTGCCTCTAAAAAAAAAATTAATAAGTTATAGTTGATAAATTATACATTATTAATTTATTTATATGCCAAAGTACTTTAGAGTCTTTGTAAAAAATTATTGGAGTGGCTAGCTAAAATTTTAAAATATTTTCCATAGAAAGTAATAACAATTTCTAAAAATAAATCCACAAATAATATAATTAGATACATGTGTTACATAAAATTAAAAATTAAAATCCTATTTAATTTAAGAAGAAAAAATATAAAAATAAATATTTTTTTTGCATTGAATGTTATAAATTTAAAAATAATTAAATAAAAAGCCGTTGATCTTTGAAATCCAATAAATCTAACTTTTATACAATGATGGCATGATATCATATAGATGTATGTTGGATTTTTGTAATTATATGAAATTTTAAAATATAAATAAAATTTTGTTAAAAGTTATTTTTTAATGATTTTCAATACTATTATATATTCACTAATAGTGAAGTATTTAGAGACATAGTTGTACAACTTTGTGTTTTGATTTTTTTATAAAAAATTATTAACAAAAGAATTCATCAATCCTATACATATACATAGAATTATACTTTGATGAATTCTATGTTTATATGTTAATTTATTATATATATATATATATATATATATATATATATATAATAACTGAATAAAGAAATTAATAAAAGAATATATCTATGAAATTTTTATTCTATGTTTTAAAAATATGTATATTATATCAAATACAAAGAATAGAATACATAATATATTGTGATAAGTTAGAAAATAATGTAAAATTTCAAAAAATAGATTTATTGATTTCTTTATATGTAAACATCAAAACACAAACTACATACTTTTTACATCAATTATCTGTACAAGAAAACCCCAATATGCACACTCCAAGTCTTGCAGTAGAAGGGCCATCACAATGTCATATTATTGCACTCATAAAATAAAAAACAGAACAAGCACCTCACAAGCAAGAAGCATTAAGAAGCAAGAGCTAACAATTCAATAGATGGGTCACAACAATGTTGCCGTAAAAATCTCCCCACAAGTACCACAAGCCCATTATACAACAAACAGGCAAAGCTGGTGGGGCATAGCACCACGGAATCAAGCCACGGCAATAAAATCCCCCCTCACTTAGCCACGGTGAACCAACCTCCATCCTCCACTCTGTCCACAGAGATGAGAAATCGGGGATACTGAAGAATAATTCATCCATCTACGGTGCACTGCGGCCCCTTACCCTACATTCATTTTTACAGCGTGTTTTCCTCACATGTGTTGTGCGGAAACAGGGGCCACGACGAAGGATCTCGAAAAGCCACCGAAGAATTCCTTCCTGTAGAAAGCAATGCTACAGGAAAACTTGGACCCTGTGTAGCCATGGTGACTAGAGAACAGTGGCGTTATTTTATTGCCGTTCGTGGAAGCCAGAAGCACTGGGTTTCTATTTGAATCCCTGGAATACCACTTGGCAGGCGTGAAACTGGAAACAGAATGCCTCCTTCGCTATGGTTTCTATTGCAGAGGGTGGTTTGGCTGGATTTATTTTCGGAAATGACCACCTGGGGAGTTTATATTGTTTTCCGTGGGTTACGTATAGTCGTTCGCTGAAGGAACTCCTCTGGAAAGCTTCCATAGTGCGACGAAGAATGCTTCGAGTGTTGGTCACAGTTGTTGAATCTTTAAACTTTTGGAGTGTTTTGATTTTATGATACCTCGCCGTTTGGCAGGTGGGAACAGATCATTGGAATATTGAAGTAAGGGGGATAGGAGGGAAGTGTGCAAGAGGGCACCGGGAATTTATATGGGATTTCTGACACGATTGTGTTCTGACCCAGCAAAAAGCCGAATGAGCTTTTGTCGGAATGTAGGTATCTTGGTATCTGGAGGTGTCGTCAGAAGACCCCAGTTGGTGGGGCAGCTACAATCACAAGAGAGGGTGACACTGGGCGGAAACATCACAGGCAGTTCACAGAAAGCCATAAGGTGTGAGGATGAGAAAGGCGGTTGTATACGTCCGATTCCATCATTTGAATTTTTTGTTTTTTTGTATTTAGTGAGAAGTGCTAGGAGGATGTAGCTGTTGAACGTGTTTGTTCAGATGGTCGTCATTTGAGGATTGTAGTGGTTTTGGAGCGGCAGTTTTGCAGTGTTTTGAATTTTTAGCGTCTGGAGGCGTTGAGGTGATACTTTTAAGGAGTACGTGAAATGGAAGATTTGAAGAATTGGCAGAAATATCACGTTGAAGCAGTATGAGAGAAAGTAGGCGGAGCCAGAGGATGCACGCTCTTGCTCCGTTGCTGGGCTAGCTGTCGAAGGAGAAGGTATGGAGTACGTGGTGCACGAAAAGAATGTTAGAAAGGAAAAGGATTGGGTGAAGGAAGTGCGGGAGGGGGGCTCTTTGCGGAATGTGGAGCTCCGGGATGATGGAGTGCATGGATGGGCGTCACCGCCAGCTGGTTTGTTTATGGTGCGCGGGGCGAATTATTTCCAGAAGAAGGTGAAGGTGCCGTGCTCGGAAATGCTGCTGGAGCCTTTGGGCGTCGATTGGTTGCGGTCTAATGCGAAGCTTGATCATGTGCTGGCGCATCCTGAGAATAGGGTGATGCAAGTGCTTCAGAAGTTAAGCGAAGAGGCGCGCAAGACATCGTTCATCTTGGCCATCAATTTGCAGGTCTCAAGCAAGAAACACCACAGCGCCGTGTTCTACTTCATGACGGACGAGCCCATTGTTGAGGGTTCCTTGTTGCACCGCTTCATCCACGGAAACGACGCGTTTTGGAATAGTAGGTTTAAACTAGTCAATCGGATTGTGAAGGGTCCTTGGATCGTCAAAGCAGCGGCAGGAAATCACACCGCATGCTTGTTGGGTAGAGCTCTCACATGTCGGTACATTAATGGACCTAACTATCTGGAAATTGACGTGGATATCAGTTCCTCCACTGTGGCTAATGCAATCTTACATTTGGCTCTGGGCTACGTCACGACCGTATCCGTTGACATGGCCTTCCTCATTGAAGCACAGACTGACGACGAGTTGCCAGAGAAACTGCTTGGGTCAGTGCGAATCGCCCAAATAGAGATGGAGGCGGCCTCTTATCTTGAGAATCACAATGAGAACTGCTCCATTTCTGCCCACGAACAGCCGGGATCCCAATTTGGGTTGTATTGGCGCAAACTTAGCAAGACCTTGTCCAGGATAGGAAGCCATGGGAGCAAGAACGGGAGAGTTGATGTGGAGGAGGCCGAAGAGAAGTGAATCAGGTCAAGCTGATAGTGCCAATTGATTGGTGGGCCACCACATTCAATTTATTTGGTGGAATGACGGCTCTCCACATGGTGGTGAAATGTTCGCGAAGGATGCACGAGTACTGAAACTTCGTTGCAGGGTAGGCATTTTGTAAGGACATTTCAAAATTTGTAGAACTACGTAACTATTGTAGTATTTTGATCGATTAGGAAAAATCAATTCTCAATGTTCGGGATGGAAAGAGAAGATCTTTGTGACAATTTTACATGAATCTTCCTTTTCTTTTTCTTGGTTTTTGATTTTTAGGCTGTCATGAGGAGTGCTAGCTTGCCAATGCCAGAAGTTGGCAAAAGCAACACGGTCTTGGTAACTACCTTCAAGTTGCTTTAGGTGGAGTCCATTGCTGCTTCAACCTTTCGTTCCTGAGAAGTCAGATCTTTGCTTTTCTTGAGTAGAAGCTTTCTCCCTGTCAGGGTTTCAAATGGGGTCCTAAATCCACAAATGCAGTGAGTTTTTGATCCGAGGGCACAGTGCAAAATGCAGTGCAAATTAGGTCAGTGTTGATGGGGCGTGAACGCGTTGATTAATTGGTATTGTTGCAAGGGTAGTTACACAGATCAATAATTGATTTCTGTAAATCACTGCCAAGTTTCGTTTTGAACCGAGACGTGGAGAGTGTTCATGCTCAAGCGACGGAGATGGGGTAGCGCAAGGTGCCAGCTCGCATGAAGTCATTACAACATTGTCGGTCCTCGCCACAATCCTCGTAGACATTTCTTTCCATACTGCAAATTTTCTCAACAACAGCATGTCCAAGTTGCTTGCTTTTCACTGCTCCTCAACACATATCACATTTTCGCCAATAACATCAAAGAGAGCATGGTTTATTCCTGACAGAATCCTATGCTCGTCTTCACTAAAAGATCACTCAGTTCTCGGAAAAAAATTAAGATTACATTGTGGGATTGAGTGTGAACATTGTCTATAGGGGTTGATTAGAAATTATTTTTTTTATTAGTCCCCGCACTCGATTGCTATCAGAACTTCAGAAGCGGTTCCTGGGGTCCTATGGCCCAGTGGTTACGACTTTGGACTTTGAATCCAAATACCCGAGTTCAAATCTCGGTGGGACCTTTGAATGTAGCGCTATTGTGGCTGCTTTTTCAACTTCGTCTTCTACGACCGTAATTGAATAAACCAGCATGTGGAAAGGAACTAGCGTGCATGGCAAGAATGTTTGCGGTTGTATACATAATGTTTGATTTAAACATGATTTTGGTAGAACGCTGAATGCATTACTTACCTATTTCACAAATGCAACACCGTTAAGAATGCAACAATTGTGCGCATTTATGATGAAAATTTTGAGAATTTCCCAAAGTCTTAATATAGGTGGTTTATCCCTGTCCGTTGAAATCCGTTCTTCTAAAATGCAGTGACTGGATGGTTTCCATTACTCATTCAGTTTCCCCCCAATACTATGAAATTAAAGCGTAATGTCGTAGCACTGGATTCCACCTCGACTATTGCCTCGAAGGTACCCACAAGCAGCGCAGAAGCTAAGCCGATTCCCTTATTCTTTGAGGGAGATCGTGAGACGGTATTCATCCGAGAGCTCGCATTTGAATCACTCGATCTGGGATGCACAACCGACACATTCAGTCCTGGCAACTTACCCACTGGTCGTGCCCAATCGATCTCCACATCGCAGGAATCGGACGAAGGTGGTCTCAGAATAATGCTTCTATTTATGTCTGCCCCATATGAAGTAGGGGCAGATCGAAGGTAAGATTTGGGTAAACTTGGTGCGTCGGAGCATAATACCGGGATCGGATCAACACCAGCGCAGTCGAAACCGGCTATGTGCTCGTGGCGTTCCCTGGACACTGTTTTGCTTGGAATACGTGGATGCTCGTTCATTGAATGTGGTTAGCAGAATTTGTTTCCATGTTTAGCACCACGCCAGGTGGAGGGTGCAGTGAGTAGGTCCAACAGTAAACGGATGGACTGAAACTGAACAGCGAAGAGAAAGGAGCTCACACCCCTAGACGTTTGAGTTTCCAAAAGCGGCAATTGCTGCTAGATTCTCGTTGCATGCATCTGGACCTTGGTTCGGTAATCTTTGGTTGGGACTCCTGCACGGGGATCTTATGTACATGCCACAAAGGTGCCCTGGAGGGTGCACAACGGAGCCATGCCCAATCAATGTGCAGTGGTGGGTGGTTGCTAGGTCGTTTGTTGACAGATGTTTGTGAAGGTGGTAGGTGTTAGAAGTGAAGGTAATTTCTAATTGCTCAGTTCTGCTTGTTATGCAACGAAATGTCTTTCTCAGGAAACGACTACAGTCTCTTGGGCCTCTCTGTCGGCAGAGCCAAGGACGAGAAGTCAAGAGAGGAGAAGAAGTCGAGTGCGTCGTCCACTCTGGCGAGTCGCATGGCTAAGAAAATCTCTTCAGTCCTGAGGCTCCGGCGTTCTACGTCGTGCTCTAGGAGGAATTCGTCGGCTATGGTATTTAACAACTCAACGTCGTACTCAGATGTCGACGAATCCCAATGCAAGTACTTCACTGGTGAATCAGAGCGGTTTTGTCCAGACATAAGTGCTTCGCGGAGGCATGGTGACTCTCAGAATAATCGTTCACAACGAAGCGCAAGTCTGCGAATCCATGTCTAACTCGAGGTACACTTTCGTACTGTAATGCTCTTGAACATGTGGGAATAGAAGCACTTATGCCAGGATTTGCGGCATCAGGCTGGAACTTCTGGATGATGGTAATGGTCCAGAATTTGCACCAAAAAGACGCTACCTTGTAATGAAGCTACTCTTAGAGTTTCACTAAGCTGGGTGCAATTCACTGTATTAGATGCTGGAAAGAATGTTTCACTTTTTCGTCTATGTCTTCAGTGTCGTTGCTGCACCATTTCGCCTTTCTCCTGCGTACGCACAAGCTTGTAGAGCTCAGCATAGGTGGACCTCTAGAATTGTTGTTCCTCTTCTAGTATGATTTGCAGGACATACATTTTCGGCCATTCTCACCACAACCGGATTTGGAGAGTAGTACAATTGTGATGTTGATTTTTGTTATCACTAGGTTTTCAACTGCAGTGGGTGCTTAAATTCAATCGTCATTTTATTTTGACCGGCATCAGTTACCCTGGTTTATTTTGCAAACAGGTTAAGAGTCAGTTTCAGTTATTTTTCGAGACCAGGCATTATGATATACTGGCAAATATGTAATAGCACGTGATCCCAGTACTTCTACGAATACAGCACATTTCCGGATGCAACTGCACGTGATTATCCGCAGTGTAAAACATAAAGGAGAGCATTTTTGTAATAACACGTGGTCCTTAATGGCGCTTTTGGATTGCTGAAGCAGGCGGTTTCTGATGATTCCTTCAGATACGAAATTCCTCCCACGAGGAATTATGGATTATCACCTTGGGGTTCAAATGATACGACACAGTTCTTTTGTTGCATGACATTGTTCTACATTATATTCCTCCTCCGAGGAGCATTCATCCCCAGAAAGTTAATAAGGCATCTTCAAAATGTTCTATTTGAAGAAGGCTCGTAACAGTAGCCAGCAAGCGTGGGCATTTTCTACGAGAAACTAAGTACTGTCGCTAGCTGTCTAGCGTTGCACGACTTTACACGAGGTAGTCGAGTCTTCCATCGAAGGCTTGTACCTCAAAAGAATGAATCAATGGGTTGCGAGACGGTGTAGGGCAGATTGAAAGATATCTCATGTAAAGGGTAGAAAATGTAATGGGGTGTACCGTACTTAAGTAATCTTTGTTCATGAAAAGGTCCAAATTTGCTGATTCTCTAAATGCTCTTTGCTGAAAGTGCAGCCCAAGGGCCTCAATTGTTAGACTATTGTATTTACTCTTCATTTATAGACTACCCCATGGAAGGTATATGTTGATCCTTTGCGGTCTAGTGTGTAACCTCTCCTTTGTGAGTGAAAGGCTGGGTACGCACGTAAAATGGGACATGTGTATCCTGTGCTATAGCTGCTTTCTGGGTTTGCGATCATTATTAGTGTTGGTTGTTCGGCGAGAATGTCCATCAATCCTCACTGCCGATAATTGTCTTGCATACGATTAAGTGCCATATATTCTCGTTTCTGTCTTCTTCCAGCTTTGCACTCGGTTGTGATTTTGCACGAGAAACACCGTCGCTGTCTTTCAGTCTCGCAGAGTCAATCTGCATCAGTCCTGTAGGTTTTACGACGGTACCGACACAGTCACTCTAATTTCTATTTGAACTCCTTCGAAGTGGACTACGTAGAGACCTTCGCTGCTATGTTGTCAATCGTTAGAGGGTGAACTGGCTTGCTGAGAAGGCTGTCACTGTCTGAAAGTACATCACTGCAAGTCTCAATTGTCCATTGTTACGGAATACTCCCTCTATTCAACGAGATTCGACCTTGAACTGTGTGTAGACACATCTTCTTCTAACACTATAATCTGTCATAGAGGACACCAATTCCAAAGAACTTGCTTCCAAAGGAACATAGTTTTTTCTTTGAATTACTTTCTTGTCTGAATTTTTTTTTGCTTCCTTACTGAACTTCACATTGGCAAGGTGTGTAGAATTCTCCACCAAAAACCTTGCATAGTAAGCTTTGTGTTGTATGTATGCCAACATGTCTTCAAGTTCAAGGAATTCTTACTTTTCCTTCCTACTTGAGATAGACAATTTGGAAGACGCTGAAATAATTTCATGATTCACTTCAAAAATAAACTTCTCAACTTATCATGTTATATGATAAGTTAATATGGTTTTAAAGCTAATTCAAATGCAGTAGACATAGGTGGTTTAGAAACTTACTTTTTTCTTTGTCCATTTATGTAGGCAACATATGAAAAGATCTTCAAAATGGCTCATTTAGACATTGTCCTCTCACATCTTTTGGAAATGTTTTGTAGTTTTTGAATCCCAATCCCGAGGTACTATAATATTATCTATATAGAATCAGAGTAAGAACAAACCATATGTTTTGTGCAGACACAACTGCACAGTTAAAGAATTTAACACCTCATTTTTCTTTTGCCTTTCCATAGTTTTAGTTAGTTCCTTATGCAAATTAAAAAAAGTTCTTTTGGACTATATATTTCTTCTCTAAAGCAAGGTGATAAATGAATAGTTTTGGCCATGCCTTCCCTTCATTCCAAAATTTGATAAGCTTCCTGTTTGTCTCAAATTTCTTGTTCCAAATTAGTTGAATTGATATGCTCTTTTACAAACTTGCTTCAACATTGACCATCGTACTTAAGTGGTCTATAAAAAAAGAATCAAGACAAAACACGTATTGTCACAAATATATATTTATTCTTATAATTATCTAGATAACATATATAGATAGAAGTAGGTAAAAATAGATTAATTTGATAATATCTTATAGAGAAGCTTCATAGATGCAATTTTACCTTTAAACATATCTATAGGTGATTAATAGATTGAAAATTCAACTAATAAGTCAGCCACATGTATGTATTTGTAGTTTAAAGTACAATCTAATCATGTGGCGTACATATAAAAAACTTATTTTATAAGTTAAGACATATATCTCGTAAATTAGAAATATGATATAGGTCCTATAGAATTTTATTATATAATAATACAACCATTTAATTAAAAGAAAAAAAGTTTTATTATAGAAGAACTTAATTAAAAATTATAATAAAAAAATATAGGTAAAAATTAGACAAGTAGTAAAATCTTGTTGTATTAGAATTGCATATTATGAAAATGGATTCTATTTACTTTGTATGGCCATAAATAAGGTAAAATAAGATAGATTAGAAAATAAAAGATATAGGTATATATAAAAAGAAGTTAGGAGTTGATTTTAGCAAAAGTTATGTCTAAAAAATAAGAATTGATACACAAAGAGAAGTAGTTGCCAATCAAGATTGAAATTAGACCTTAAAATACAAAACCAAGCTTCTATATTATTTTTGGGATTTTTTTACAAATAAAAGAATAGGATGTGAGAGTAAATTTGGTTAGACTTTTTTGAATATTAATTTTGAAGGATTTGAGTTTGTAACAACTTTGGTTTTGTGAAATAAAATAGAGTTGATATTTGGACAATTTTCTAAGTTTTTTAATAGATCTGTAAGTAAAAATTTGTGGATTTGTGAGTATAGTTGTGTTAAATATGTATAATGAATTTGAACTTAATTAAATGGTTAGGCTGAAGGTTATTGAAGTTCAAGTAGGTTGAAGTCTCAAAAATCAAAGTTTGAGGGCTAATAAGAATTTCTAAGGTCCTCAGTAGTTTGCTAATTGGATTGAAGTGAAAATTATTTGTATGAATAGTATACTTGATTATCAAGATTTATATAAATTTTGAAAGCAATTCAATTGTTTGAGAAGGAGATATTGGTATTGAAAGTTTAGCATCAAGGTTGAAGAAGAAGGTTGCTCAACATCCAAATCGATTATCTTATATTTCTTTTAATTCATCTCATTTTTCTTATTCTTATTTTTAACTAAGTTAATGAATAGTGTGAAAATTTTGAGTTGATATCAATAGTTTAATTATTAATTGTTGAGGTTTTAATTTTTTAAAAGAATTATTTTAATTTTTTTTAGATTTAGGATTTGATTAGAATTTTTTAAAAATTGGTTTAGAATTGGTTTAAAATTTATTTCGGATTTATTTAAGATTTGCTTAAGATTGATTTATGTCAAAGACAAGAACTCGATGAAAAAGCAATTCAGACAAGTGAGCCTTCACTCAAAGAAAGGTAACAAAATATAAATAAACAAGTATGTATATTGAAAGAGAAACTGGAATGGCTATTGCAAAAAGACAAGAAAACTAGAGACCCTTGAAACTAGACTAGAAGCAAGAAAGGAGTTGACAAGAGTGAAGAAGGCTTCACTCTTATCTCTATATATACTATCTAACTAAAGGCTATGCGGCGATGTTCTATAGGACCTCCAATATGTGTTGACTTTGTAGGACACATGCCTTGACTTACAAGGCAAGTTTTTCTACGTGTGGGCCACATAATTAGCTTGATCTTCAAGTTAACAATATGTGTGGCACATGGCCAACTTGTTGACGACGTTTCTAATCCAAAAAGTCAATTAAAGACACCTATGAAGTCAAAGCAGCGTCTATGAAGCTTCTAGAAAGCTTCTATATTAAATACTATAGAATTAACTTACTTTTATCTACTTTTACTTACTTCTACCTATTTGTATATGTAATTGCTAGCTTACATGAGTATGTCCGTGACAATTTAAGGTTTCATTAAGATTTGATTTAGGATTTAAGATTTGTTTAGAGCTTGATTAGAATTGGTTTAGAATTTGGTTAAGATTTATTAAAGATTTTATTTGGATTTGATTAGGATTCAATTGAAATTTCTATTTTTGATATTTTTAAAAATTTATTTTTATTATTTTATTAAGATTTTTATTTTATTATTTTTTTAAAATTATATATATATATATATATATATATAGTTAAGATTATTTCATAAAAAAATTATATTTTTTTATAAGCTCTTTAAGACTCTTTTGGAATTTAATTAAATATTGATTAGGATTTTAATAATTTAATTGGACTTTATTTAAGGTTTTATTAAAATTTTAAAAATTTTCTTATTGCAAGTTCTATTTTACCTTCTATAGCTAGGTGCTTGGTGCATTTTAAAGCAAACTTTGCAAAATATGACATAATTTGGTGAATCCAAAATTTATAATGCTTTAGATGGAAGGTGTTTGGATTTTTTTTGTTTATTTGAATTATAAAAAAAGAAGACAAGAGAATAGAAGGAGGGACTTTGGGTGGTACTTCAATTGGTATTTTAAGTAGAGTTGAAAGTGGAGCTACAAGTAGAGGATATGATATGTATTTTGATCCCAACTCTAAATATGTTTGAGTCATTTGCTCTATTTATGAAATAATAATAGATTAAATATAATAAAGATGATATGACAAATAAAGCTTTACATGAAGTTGTTGATAAAATTGATTATTCAAAGATATTATAAGGTATTATAAGATATTTTAAAGAATCATGGAAGTAATTTTCTTAAGCATTGAAGGATGAATGTTTTTTGGAAGATAGTGATTGAGTTACAAAAAAGTCATTTTTTGAATGGATTGAAAGATCTAAGAAGGGGCTTTAAGCAATGATATTATTGAGAGAAGTTGAAATAAAATATTCTCATTTATCAAAGAAGGAGAGGCAATTTCTAAATCCAAAAAAAATGGAGCTTTTTCTTTAAGCGGCTCATAGAGAGTTACAAAAGAAGTTAGAGATTTTTCTTGAAAATAAAAAATAAGAAGAAAAAAGATAGGATAGATATTTAAAGAGAAAAGAAAAAGAAAAAGGAAAAAAGATAGGATAGATATTTTAAGACCATTACAAATATCTAAGATAAAAATGACTATTAATCATCCTCCGTTTATAGTTCAATCTTTAATAACTACATCAAAGAAAGAAAGAAAGAAAGAAAGAAAGATTGTTAATGAAATTATACAAGAGATGAAAGATTTGAAAATAAAATTTGTAAAACTTTAAGACAAGATTTAAATATCAAGAGTATCAATAAGACCAAAATTTGGACCAATAGAAGGTGAAGTATATAAGTACATGTGGTGTGATAGCATGAATCATTTAAAAAAGAAATATGAAGATTTTACAAAAATATTATGTAAAGGAGTTGTTTTTTTTAAAGATAATATGATACATTTAAAAGAAAGTAGAAAAAAATTAGAGACAAATTTTAATAAAAGAAGAACAAACCTGCTTGTAGGAGATGCTTTTAAAGTACCAACAAAATATACAAATATTATTGCCAAAATATTGGTTGGAAGCAAATCCTTGCAAATATTTCAATATAAATTTTGGATTTTTAATAAAACCTAATTTTTTGTAGACAATTGAAATAAATTAAGTTGA